AAAAAAAAAATTATAAACTACTACCATCACATTTATTCAGATTATAATAAATGTTTTTAACCTACATCCCTAATTTGAACCTCATCTTCATGAATGTCTAATCGTTTTTTTGACAGTCAGTACACTTCATGAGTTTTTTAAATATTGCTAAAACAACCTTACTTAGTTTAAGATTCCGAAAAACCTTCCACGTCCTCTGGAAATGTATAAATAAATTATATCTTCCTAATAATAAAATATTTTTATAAACAAAGACCTTCAGCTTCATCTCCTTCATTAATTCCCTTCTTACATACATACATACACCTATAAAAGAACAAAAGAACTCCATGGAAGAATGCCTGACACTACCTAGAACCAAAAGGGAAAAGGAAGTCATTCCAACGGTGCACATAAAGCTGTCTAGGAAGAATCTTTACTTTCGCCGTGCATCCGTTGCACAGCCGTAGGTTGCATAGAAAACCTTGATTTCATTTCTCTTCCTAGCCTCGTTGTTTAGCTGCAACTGCAACATCAACAGTTTTAATGGATAAAACAAAACAAACAGACAAACAAGTAACAGCAACAGCAACAACTACACCAACACCAGCTTAAGCTGGCAAGAAAAACTCTCATTTGTTATTTACTCTGGCAACTGAAAGAATGAAACAAATATTAATTACACACAGTCGCCTTTAAGTTTCGGGAGCTTAATGTGTAAACAATGCGCTCGAACATGCCGACACACACACACACAAATACAAAGGAACGTAGCGTCCATGCAAGGAAGTTGAAAACTGAAAGTCCTCATAATAATTTTCGTAATTTACAATTGTTTTAATAACAAGGATTTATGTTTTGCTGCTACTGCTGTTGTTGTTGTTGGTGTTGCCGTTGTCATGTCGTTGTTTGGCAAAACGGAATCTAGAAAGTTTTTGGAGGGCAATATTTAATGGCGGTATTTAATTTTTAATATTTCCAAAATTTCGGAAAATAAAGCTATGGAAAATAACATGAATTTTTAAATAAATCTCAAGGAGGTTTCGAATAATTCTCAGTAGATCATGATACTAGATTTTGTAGGGGGCGATTGTGATAATTGAAAATTTTGAAAGGTTTTAATGGAAAGAAGAAATTTATTTAATTAAAAATCTATATTAAAGTAGAAGAAATTGCGGTATTAAAATTTAAAATCACAATTAAATAATATAGAAGAGCTGGAAAAGTTCCGATACATTCCAAATGACTTCTAGGGATACTAATTCTACTAAGTGGGATTAGTATCCACGAATTCTTGGACAATACGAACAACAATACAAGTTTTCCAAACTTCAATACAATACGATAAGATTTCTAACGACACTTACGTTTGAAAATGAAATGATTTGAAAATTAAGTTTATCTTCCAAGAAGGACGCTTTCGGTTAGTTTACTTAAAAATTCAAATATTGTTGATCGGGCGATCTGAACTTTCTTATAAAACTTCTAGAAGAAAAGTGACTTTTTTATTTGTTATTGAGATAAAAAAAACTGCAACAAAATCAAACGCCATAATTTTAACATTTTTTTTTTTAAATTCTATTGAATGAAAGCAAAAAATGTCGGAAATAGCATCAAATTTTAAAATAAGTTTAGATTTGTTAGAATTGGTCACCTTTGGCACAAATTATGGCCTTCAAACGGCCATGCCCAAACTATACGAGTTTTTTCTAGCAGCTCTCGATCTTCAGCTGCGATGGGAGGGGATGGTCTCCGAGTACGGTATTCCTCCATAACTTCTGTGACCACTTCTGAGTGAATACCATTCAGTCCTGGTTTATAGGTCTGTAGATTTAGTTCATGAAGGTCTTTCCCTACATGCCGGGTGGAGGTTGCCCATCTACCAGATTGTTATTGGGATGACTCTGTTTGATCACCCAAGCAGGCATTGCATTGACAACAATTTATTATGCTATCGTACCGGAAAAGGACCTTCTCCTCCCTATGTAGGTATCATAAGGAAGCACCCTATTGCGGTTTTTAGAGCGGCTTGCTGGCAGAGCTAAATATTTTCCCACTGCGTAGCACTAACATTGGCGAACCACTCCGGAGCAGCATATTTTACCACAAACCGACCTATTGCATTGCAAAAAGTCAACAAGGTTTCTTTATTAGCTCCCTGCAGACAAGAAACTTGTTAGACGAATTTTGGTATTTAAATTTCTATCAACCTGATGCCAGTTGCAAAATGGACAATATCCACCCACTCCATCCCGTTTAGAATAAATATAAAATTTAGAATAAACATAAAACTTAGAATAAATATAAAATTTAGAATAAACTTAAAATCAATTTCGTCAGACACCACACATAAATTTAATGGATCGGGATCCACATGTTAAAGTTTTTAATAATGATATGATTCCTAACATCCAGAAAAAGTTTCAGATTTTCTGTAAAATGTACAACAAATAAATATATCTTGCATTAGAAAAAACATGGATCCATTTCGTTTGCCCAGCAATCTACTATAAATCGAGAGATTTATACGAACTGCACCAAACTATCCTCATCGTGTCTTTTCAAAGGAACTTTATGTTATTTCCAGTAATGAACTATATCTGTTCCTCTCTCCTAAATGATGAAATTTTGATACGAAAAAATATTTGAGTTTGATTGTGTACAGCCCCATCCGCCTAGACGTTTTCATACCCTCCGCCATAGTATGGAGGGTATATTAAGTTTGTAATTTCCTTTGTAACACCTCAAAATGCCACCTCGAATGGCTGAAGATGTATACCGAAGCTATATAAAAATCTGAACCAATCTCCATAAAATTTAGCGGTTGTATTTTCGAGCAGTATCTGAAACGCGGTATCAAATATCATTGTTGTGGACTGCATATTACGCATGTGAACACTTCCATTTAAGCAGAATTCCGTCGGAAGTGCCAACAACCCTGAAATCGGATAACGATATATATGGGAGCTATATCCAAATCTGAACCGATCTTGGCAAAATTGTAAACACTTATTTCTGAGCTGTATTTGATATTCGGTACCAAATATTATTGCTGTGGAGTGCATATTACGCATGTAAGTGACTTAAAACCCCAAATCGGATAAAACATATATATGGCAGCTATAGCTATATCTGATCCGATTTCCATCAAGTACTTTTCCTAAGATGAATTCAGTCGGAACTGCCAAAATTCATTCCATTTGGGCTGATATTAGTCATTTGGTGCACAATAAACCTGATATCGAGTAAAGAGATATATGGGAGCTATATCTAAATTTGAACCCATTCTCACCGATTTCAATAGGGTTCGTCCTCGACCAAATAAATATTGTTTGGAAAATTTCATCTCTATTGGACAATACATCAGACCTGCATTTTGTACACAAAAATACATGGACAGACGGGCATAATCGACTCAGAAAGTGATTCTATAACAAGTAAAAAAACATTAAGTTCGGCCGGGCCAAACTTTTAATACCCTCCACCTTAGGGTAAAGAAAACATTAGAAGTAATGTGGCAAAAACCATTGAAATGCCGAATATCGGGAGGTATCGTTATATGGGGGCTATACCAAATCGTGGACCTACAAATGCAATGTTTCGTCAACGGAGCTAGAACCCATTATGACCTACAAATACCAATTTTCAGACAAATACGTGAAATAATGTGGCAAAAATCATCAAATTACCGAATATTGGGAGGTACCGTTACATGGGGACTATACCAAAACGTGGACCTATACATACAATATTTCGCCACACGAACTAGGACCCATTATGACCCACAAATACCAATTTTTAGACAAATCAGGAAAAAAAATGTGGCAAAAACCATCAAAATACCGAATATCGGGAGGTACCGTTATATGGGGGCTATACCAAATCGTGGACCCATACATGCAATATTTCGTTACGGAGCTGGAACCCGTTATGACTAACAAATACCAATTTTTTAGACAAATCCGTGAAAAAATGTGGCAAAAATAATAAAAATACCGAATATCGGGAGGTACCTTTATATGGGGGCTATATGAAAACGTAGATCTATACATACAATGTTTTGCCACACGTACAGGGACCCGTTATGACCTGCAAATACCAATTTTCAGACAAATCCGTGAAAAAATGTCGCATAAATCATTAAAATACCGAATATCGGGAGGTACCGTTATATGGGGACTATACCAGAACGTGGACCGATATATCTCACTTTCAATACCAAACATCCTAGACACAATACAAATAACTGTGCTAAATTTTGGCGCTCTACGTCAAATAATGTGGGCTGTATCGTGATTTCAACAGACAGACAGACCGACAGACAGGCGGACAGACGGACATGGTTAAATCGACTTAGAATTTTATGCTGATTATGAATGTATATACTTTATGGGGTCTACGACGAATATTTAAGGATGTAACAAACGGAATGTTAAAGTTAATATACCCTCCTTTCCAAGGTGGAGGGTATAAAAATCCTCAAAAGTGACTTTGGGTCTCTCTCGCTTCCTTTTCCATGTTACCAACAAATTCACATAGTACCCCTACCACTATGTGGTGTAGGGTATAAAAACTGAATTAGATAATTAACAAAAAATAAAATAAGTTCAAAATATTTAAATAAATCATAAAACTAGGGTACTCTAACGAGGTACTGGGAAAGCTTTTAACACTATCAGCTTACTACTGGCATTGCCAATTAACAACATAACTGAAAATTATTGGTGCATATCAACACACCATAGATTTAATATAAAGCTGAAGATAAGAGTTTCGAAAAAGTTGAAGTTAATGCTAAAAATTTACAGAAGTGGGAGAATGGAAAAATGTCCATTCAGTAACAAAAAAGTCCATTCGGTCTAGAAAAAGTTTTGAAAAGATGATGAGACAATTCCTATATATACGCTCAATATCAAAAGTGTCAAAGTTCGTGTTCCAATTAGTTTTAAATACCGTCATCATTTTCTATGTCACAGCGCATGTTGTATATTAATCTTCCGTTTTAAAAATCCATTTTTAAATACTTCTTGAAAACACTTATTTTCTCATTTTTATTAACAAAGGAATCTCATTTTCTACACTTTTAAGGGACAACGGTACATCGAATTCAAACGATTAATGTCACTCTTGCTCATGCCTCGCCGTTGACCCATAATACCAGCAGCTTCTTCTTCCTTCAATGGGACAATGGTCATTTCACCATTGGCCGAGAAGGCATAGGCGGAATAGTGCAAAACACTGCCGTAATCGTATTCCTCGTCATAATCATCGACAACGGTGGCGTCGTATTTGTTGAAATTACCCAGAGTACCCGCCTGAATATTCGTCTCATTGATGAACACATACTCGTCACGATTGCTGCTGCTCTGCATGTGGTAGAAGCCAAGGGTGTGCAAAAATTCATGGACAATTGTGCCCAAACGGAAGCAACCCTCATCCAAGGGATACAATTGCAAGTTGTATGACTGAGCACCGGCATTGCGGTAGCCAACGCTGGAGTAACAGCCACCAGACATACCGGTGATATTTACAAAGTTACGTGTGTCCTCAGTGGCCTCTTGGAAACGAATGCAGGAGACACTTTCTAGGATTTCCATGCCACGTAAAATGTGATTACGATGGGCATCATCTAAAGAACAAAAACTAGATTTAATCAATTGTCCCTTAACATAAATTATTTTTCTGTGTAATTACCAAATTGAGTGTGGAATTTGTAGTAGACGGTATTGTCGGGCCACCGGTAAACCTCATTACGTATACCATTACGGGTATTGGTATCCAAGACCATATCACCCTCCACAAAGCCAGCTGTCAACTCAGGATCTGTCTCCACCCGGGTGATCATGGGCAGGGCGAAAACCAAACCCAAAAGGGCCGTGCAAATAACCAAACTTCCTAAGACATTCATGTCCGCTCCGAGAGTTCTTCACAACTTAGAAAATCCAACTAAAATCCACCAACCAAGAGCCCATTTTATTTTTAGATGGCTTTTTACCATTTTCTGTGTTTCTTCTTTGAATATCTTATCGGCAATACGTTCAGCTCGATAGCCATTATTTATGGCCACACGGTAAATATCTCTCTTGTAATCACAAATTGGTGTTGTTTGTGTCCGCACATTTTTATTTATGAGTGGAATAGGCCAATTTGTGAGCTCGCAAATTTCCCTCTGCCAGCGAGCAGATTACATAAATATTTATTTTTGTATTGTAGTATGGGCTGCTACCTCCATTTTAAAGTGTTAATTAATTTATCAACTATCTAATCGAATTTAAGCAAAAAGTTCTGTCGAACGTTTTGGGAAATCTGCCACTCAAATTATATGACCTTGTTTAAGTGCTGACAGAGTAGTAGTTTTTCGATAAGTTCGACTGCTCTTTTACATGGGCCCGAAGAGCGTGGACTACTCTATTAACCATTGAAAAGAATAAAAACGTAATGTTTATGTAGCCTAGTTTGTCTAGTCTTTTCATAGCAACGGATTCGGATCGCTACATTGAGTACGTCGAACAGAACAGTGTTAGCTGTTCTTTGACCAAACTATGTGAACAATTGGGCGACAACAACCTCCTTTTTAATACTTTTGAGTTGAAAGAACTTATCTTTGATTTGATACGTCAATTGGAGTTTCGGGAGGCCTGTCACTTTATATTATTTTCCTATTTAAACCAATACCCTATATATTGGGAATTAATGTGAATTAAATCATATCAACTATGAAACTTTTATACCCTCTACCATTCTATGGAGGGTACAGTAGCATTGTCATTCCGTTTGTAACTCCTCGAAATTTTTAAAAAATAAAATCCTTAAAAAATTCTTTTAAAATTTTAAAAATACCGAATGTAGCCGTTATATTGGGGTCTATTCGACGTGGACATACATAGGCATTGTTTGTCATAAGCCATTACCATATTCAAATTCGAAACTTGAAATGAACAGTGAATAATGTAGCTAAAATCATCAAAATATCGTATATAAGGAGGTGCCGTTATATCGGAGCTGTGCGAAGACCTGGACCAGCATAGACAATTTTTTGTAACAGGCTGTAGCATCCATTACGAACTTCAAATACCACATCTCAAACTATTTCGGTGGGTATTGTACCTAAAATCGTCAAAATACCGATTATAGGGAGGTACTGATATATGGGGCCTATACGAAGACCTGCACCCGCACAGACAATTTTCTGTCACAGACTGTAGTTCCCATAACGAACTTCAAATACCAATTTTGAAACAATTCCGGTGAATAATGTTGCTAAAATCATCAAAATACCAAATATAGGGAGGTACCGTTATATGGGGGCTATATGAAGACGTGGACCTGCACAGAAAATTTTCTGTCTTAGGGTGTAGTATCCATTTTGAACTTCAAATACCAAATTTGAAACAATTCCCGTGAATAATGTCGCTAAAATCATCAAAATACCGAATATCGGGAGGTACCGTTATATGGGGGCTATATGAAAACGTGGACCTACATGGCCCATTTACGAACTTAACCTGCCTACTGGAAAAATAAATATGTGTGCAAAATGTTAGCCATCTATCTCAATTCATTCGAAAGATAGCGTGATTACAACAGACAGACGGACAGACAGACGGACAGACAGACAGACGGACATAGCTAAATCGACTTAGAATTTTACGCTGATCAAGAATATATATACTTTGTTGGGTCTGATATGAGTATTTCGAGTAGTTACAAACGGAATGACAAAGTTAATATACCCTCCATAGTATGGTGGAGGGTATAAAAACTGCAACCAAGCTGTCATTCCTAAGCCACTAGTCCGACTTATTCCAGTGACAGCTCATTATATTGTCTTTTTATTTGGCTAGAAAGTCACAAGTGGCTATCGTTAGAGCACTCCTGCATTTAAATGCGAATAAATGTTTTGTGTCTCGTCACCGCCATCGCTCGTTACCGTGATACTGGTTGCATATCCCGACGTCAAGGAAGTGAACGGAAGAAAACAGCAACATCAGCAGAAATGGTTCGAAAAGTAAAGAAGCGAAAAATGGTTCGTGAGCTGAACATATCGCGTCGGAAAATATTGAAAAATGAGCTCGGGGTAAAGCTATTGTAATTCCAAAAGTGCAAGAACTTACACCGCAACTGAAAGAAAATAGACTCAAAAGAGTAAAGAGTTGGTTCGCTTGGCTGAAAGTTGTGAACTGCCGAATTTGGTTTTCTCCGATGAGAAAACATTCGTTGTCCAACAGTTTGTAAATAAACAAAATGATCGTGTTTACTTGCCAAAGAGGTCAGCTGAAAATGTGCACCTTTGGTTGGCCACCAGAACTCAAGCGCCGGGCAGGCAAACATTTTGGCCGCAGACCTTCGACATTCCAACAGGACTCAGCACCATCGCACTCAACACGCGCCAACCAATAATGGTTACAAAATGAGGTTCTTCGCTTCATTTCCAGCGCACAATGGCCACCAAAATCTCCGGATACCAGTCTATTGGACTATTGTGTCTGTTGGCACTAAAAAATACGAAAGTATCTATTACCTATAGCAAGCGCTTCGCCGAGAATGAACCAAAGTACGGGAATGGGCCAAACCGGGAATGGGCGTGTGTCGGTTTCACTGGCCGTTTGAAGGCTATAATTCGTGCCAAAGGTGACAAATTTCAACAAAACTAAACTTATTCTAAAATTTGATGCTATTCCCGGCATTTTCGGAATTTTTGAAATTTTTCAAGTGGCTTACAATTGGTGGAAGCTATTAGTAGCTTTTTTACTTGTTCGGTGCATATTATGGTTTAGAGCAGTTATAATTTGGTATTAGAGTGACCAAATATACTGGAGGTATATCTAACTCTAAATCAATTTCTACCAAATTGTATGGGATCTTTCAATATTATCTTATCAATCATCCGTCTTATCTTCGGTTTCATACGTCAAGTGCTATAGAGTGCATGACCTGATTTCGAGAAGGATTATATTAAAAAATGTATATCGGAACAATAGATATATGAGAACCAGGTTTCACAAAATGGCAATATTCGGTTAAATGTGCAAAAATCCCTCCGATCTGTGCAGATAATACATACTTGGTGTACAATAAATGTGAAATCGGAATAAGAAATATATGGAAGCTACTTCTAAATCTTAAACTATCTAAATACAATTTTGCAGAAGTATGTCTGACCAGTATGCATATTGGGAATGCATATTGGGAATGTGGGGGAATTTAACACCAAATCGGATGAGAACTGTGTATGAAATTACATAAAATTAGTTATAGTCATATCTGAATCATATTCGAAGTACTTGCTTCCAAGTTCATTTCAGTCGTAAATGACAAAATCCACTAAATTTGAGGGGATATTAATTATTTGTAGCACAATAAACTTAAAACCGAATAAAGAATATATCTAAATCGGAACTGATTTCGACTAAATTTAACAGAGGTATGGTTGAGACACCTGGTACCAAATATCATTGTCGTGGAGTGCATATTGGGAATGTGAGGAACGTAAACATAAAATCGTGTACAAAAAAAAAAAAAAAAAAAAAATACGCATACAGAGAAATACAACAACGGTATGACAATAACAAAAAGAGAACCCAACAAAAGTAGAATCCGCTGGTTTTTTTTTTAGCGAATTTAGCTCCCTCTCTAAAATGAACATGGCATACCCCCCATTATTGGAGCGCAACCAAAAAATTAGGGGTTTGCTCCTTTTGTTTTTCTACTCCCAGGATTGCTCTTCCTCGACTTCGAGCGAGTTTCACTCTTTACTCGAATTCGACCGAATTTTTCAGAGTCCTGGTTTTGGTTGCTTAGATTTCAGTTTGTTGGGTAGTAAAAGTTCGGTGCGCCCTAACTTGGTACTTTTTACTTATTTGTTATTATGTCTAGTGAACAATTTTTTTTTTTTTTGATTAAATATGGCAATACTAAATATTATTTCATTATTTTTTTGAGAATTGTTATTATTGCTGATAATTTTATTTGGCTTGATTTTGTTGTCGCTTATATATGTGTTGCATATTTTCAGGATTGTAATAATACCAATATAAAAAAGGTTTGGTCGGGCAGAAGTTTTAGTACGCCACCCTCAAGAACATATATATGGTGACACAGGATGGATTTTTCGGCCAGATAGATAAGTTTCACGTTTTTGTCCATAAGAAATACACGATTTTTACTGAAATCCTTAAAAAATATTTTTAAAAATCCATCTGGGATTTTAAAATATTTAACAAGTTAGATCCAAGAAGACCTTTTAAATTTTCTTGTCCTGCAAGTTTGACCCGGAAAATCTTTTAAAGGCATGGTAGCGGACCAAGTCAACTTACACTTTACAGGTTTCAGACACTTCCATGTATGGAATTCAAAATGTTGGCCACTTATGAACTTCTTTTCCCCAGTCCTACGCCCTACAAATATTAGGAATTACAGTTGTGGATATTTTGCTGCAATTCGTGGTTTTTTCTCTCTAACATGGAGTGGGCATTTAAAACAAAAAAGAGAACGTGAAATTTTCGACTTAATTTAGAAGTGTAGTTCTCTATCTTTGGTATACCCTAAGAAAACACGGCAATAATTTTGAAAAAAAAAAAAAAGTAAAAAAAAACAGATTTCGGCCAGGCCAAACTTTTAATACCCTCCACCATTTGAAAAAAAAAGATGAAATTTTTCAAAACAAAAAAAAAAAAAAAAAAACGAAAAGCACAACTTGATTGAAAACGTTATACGTTATATGGGGGCCATACGAAGATGTGGACCTGCATAAGAAATTTTTGCCATAGGTTGTTGTATCCATTATGAACTTCAAATACGAAATTTCAAAAAATCCCGGTAAATAATGTCACTAAAATCATGAAAATACTGAATATCGGGAGGTACCGTCATATGGGGGCTATACGAAGACGTGGACCTGCATACAAAAATAATTGTCATTGGTTGCAGTACCTATTGTGAACTTCAAATGCGAAGTTTATAATAATACCGGTAAATTATGTCGGTAAAATCATGAAAATACCGGATATCGGGAGGTACCGTTATATGGGGCTATACGAAAACGGGGACCTACATGACCCATTTACGAATTTAACCTGCCTACTGGTAAACTAAGCATGAACTCAAAATTTTAGCCTTCTATCTCAATTCGTTCGAAAGATAGCGTGATTACAACAGACGGACAGATAGACAGACACACGGACATTGCTAGATCTTCTTAGAATTTTATACTGATCCAGAATATATATTCTTAATATTTCGAGGAATTACAAACGGAATGACAAAGTTAATGTACCCTCCATAGAATGGTGGAGGATATAAAAACATGAAGGTCTCCATTCTTCTACCAAATATAGTAAACCAGTTGCGAAAAGTTACACCAGTTCTGGTACCTTCGCAACAAATATTTCAAATAGTTTTAATTAATATCTTCTAAAACTAAGGGGGAGTGTACCCATGTTAGCCCAAATTTTGTACATTTTAATATATAAATATATATTTTTTTTTTATCAATCTTAGGTCGGGTTTGGTCTATGACTACATAAAATATATGTTCAAAAAGTATATTAATCCTTAGCTATTCGTCCTACACCCCTAAAGGAACATATACTCGTGATCGGCATAAAACTCCAAGCCATTTAAAAAATATATATAGCTTACAATTTTCTAATTAAATTAATGAATATTGATGCAGATGTTTTAGTAACTCCTTAAATATTTGGTATTAAACATTTTTTGTATCGGTCCACTTATTGGCATAGCCTCCTTATAAGGGTACATCCTGATTTTCGGTATCTTTGAAGCTTTCAGTCCCGATTTCCAAACAATTCAGTCGTTAATTGACATTTCGGTTTCTTAGCGGATAGTTTTACTTCTCCTTTAATTTTCGGTATAGATCTAAGTGCCTTTACAACGGAACTTCCACATTTGATTTTGAGAATAGCCGATTTGTTTATTAATTTATGGTTATGATATAAAAAATGATATGCTAAAATGATATGCTCCCTGAATGTTCAGATATGATATTTAATATTATTAATTTCATTATTTTTTTTATCGGAAAAGGTTTTTATTTTTAGCTTGACTATTTAAGCATTCAATGAGTCCGAAATCTTCCGAACTTGAAGTCAAAATATGCATAACTTTTCATAAAAATTTAAAATAACAAATTTAACACAACTGTTCATGACATATACATTGTTGTCCTCTGTTTCATGAAGCATACTTCAAATATTTTTTCATCAACACGAATTTGTCACATTTATTGGCAAATTATTTAATTTTGATAAAAAAAATTAAACATTTTCACACCTTAACCGGACAACGATACATTAAATTCAAACGACTAATGTCACTCTTGCTCATGCCTCGCCGTTGACCCATAATACCAGCAGCTTCTTCTTCCAACAAAGGTACAATGGTCATCTCGCCATTGGCCGAAAAGGCATAGGCGGAATAGTGCAAAACGCTGCCGTAATCATATCCCTCATCGAAATCATCGACAACGGTCTCATCATATTTATTGAAATTGTGCAGTTTGCCATCTTGAATATTCGTCTCATTGATGAACACATACTCATCACGATTAGCACTGCTCTGCATGTGGTAGAAGCCAAGGGTATGCAAAAATTCATGGACAATTGTGCCCAAACGGAAACAGTCCTGGTCCAAGGGATATAATTGCAAATTATAGTTCTGAGCTCCAGTGCGACGGTAGCCAACGCTGGAATAGCAGCCACCATCCATGCCGGTGATGTTTACGAAATGGGGGGTATTCTCATCGGCCTCTTGGAAACGTATGCAGGAGACACTTTCCAGGATTTCCATGCCACGTAAAATGTGATTATGGTGGGCTGAGTCTATAATAAGAAAAAAGGCATAAATTAATTAAAATATTTTTCAGAATTATTTATGATTCCAAATTTACCAAACTGAGTGTGGAATTTGTAGAAGACGGTATTATTGGGCCATTGGTAAACCTCGTCTCGCAAACCATTACGGGTATTGGTATCCAAGACCATATCACCCTCCACAAAGCCAGCTGTCAATTCAGGATCAGTCTCCACACGGCTGATCATGGGCAGGGCGAAAACAAAACCCAAAAGGACCGTGCAAATTATCAAACTTCCAAAGACTTTCATTTCCGTTTGAATTTTTTTTTTTACTACTTTGAACTCCAACCAGAATTTAACAACTAAGAGTTCACTTTATTTTCAGGGTGCTTTGTGTGGGTTTAAATATCTTATCGGTACTACGTCAATTTCATAGCCATTATTTATGGTCCTACTATCATCTCGATTGTAATCAGCACGATTTCCAATTTGTTGTTTTAAATTTTTTTTGTGATTGGATTAGCGGAAATTTAGAAATTTCCCAAGCTTTGAAGATTTGCGCCTATTTGCTGGCGCTACATCGGATTTCTCCTCTCTAAGTCAACATCAACTTTGAGAAAATTGTAATGCGAACTTTCATGTACATCATAATATTTATCACAGTCACATCTATATACAGGGTGAAATAAAAAAAACTGCAACGAAGTCAAACGTCATAATTTTTACATTCTTTTTTTAAATTTTGTTTAATGCAAGCATAAAATGTAGGAAATAGCATCAAATTTTAGAATAAGTTCAAATTTGTTAGAATTAAATACCTTTGGCACGAATTATGGCCTTCAAACGGCTAATGAAACCGTCATAGGCTGCCTGAATGTTGCACTGCGGTAATTTGGCCCATTCCCGGCGATGTGCTTGCTTGAGGTGTTCGAGACTTTGGTATTTTTTAGTGCCAACCTTGCTTTCCAAAATACTCCAGACACAATAGTCCAACGGATTGGTATCTGGAGATTTTGGTGGCCATTATGTGCTGGAAATGAAGCGAGGACCCTTAGTTTGTAACCATTCTTGGGTGACGTGTGCTGATTGCGATTGTTCTGAGTCCTGTTGGAATGTCCAAGTTCTGCGGCCAAAATGTTTGCGTGCCCAAGGCTTTAATACATCCTCCACAATATTTTCGCTATAATATTCGGCATTTATGCTGATGCCACGATCGATTAATACGAGCGGAGAGCGACCCTCGACTGTTATGGCGGCCCACATCATCACCATGGCCGGCACTTGAGTTCTCGTGGCCAACTGAAGGTGCACATTTTCAACTGACATCTTTGTTTGTTTACAAGCTGCTGGACAATGAATGTTTTCTCATTGGAGAAACCCAAATTCGGCAGTTCACTACTTTCGGCAAAGCGAAGCAACTTTTTAGCTATTTTGAGTCTATTTTCTTTCTGTTGCGGTGTAAGTTCTTGCACTGCACTGGAATTTAGGTGACTTTACCCCGAGCTAATTTTTTAAAATTTGCGGAATGGAATATTGCGATATGTTTAGCTCACGAGCATTTTTTCGGCCACTGCGACGCGGGTTTCGATCAAGTCGCTTCTTTACTTTTCGAACCATTTCTGCTGATGTTGCTGTTTTCTTCCGTCCACTTCCTTGACGTCGGGCTACGCTCTCAGCGATGTTACGAGACACAAAAGATTTATTCACGTTTAAATGCTGCAGTGCTCTAACGATTGCCACTTGTGGTTTTCCAGCCAAATATAAAGAAATCACACTATCACGCTTTAATTCCATCACGATTAAATTTTTTCTAGAAAATTCTCACCAAAATGCTTTTGTACGCTTGTAAACTGGAATAATTTTAACAGCTGTCGGACGAGTGGCTTAGAAATGGCAGCAGTCTGAAGTTGGTTGCAGTGTTTTTATCTCACCCTGTATAAGGCTCATGAACTCTATCTCTTTCCAGTTTTATCCTATTACAACACTCTGTGGCTGATCCTTACAGCAAAGCCCAGGTTTCTATTTCTACATGTTCTAATATTATCCAATCAATATTATTATTATTAGATTTATTCACCCTGCCTAGAATGCCTGCCCGGAATTTCATAAACCAATATTTTATTTTTTTTTCTCATTTATTAACAATTCACTGGAAATTGTTTCATACTTTACACCTTAACTGGACAACGATACATAAGATTCAGGCGATTGATATCACCCTGGGTCATACCCCTACGTTGTCCCATAACACTGGCGGCCGATGCATCCCTTAACGGCACAATGGTCATCTCACCATTGGCCGAGAAGGCAAAGGCGGAATAATGCAAAACACTGGCATAATCGTATTCCTCACCGAAATCATCTACAGCCGATAGATCGTATTTCTTGAAATTGTGCATTTTATCATCCTTGACATTGGTCTCATTGATGAAAACATAATCGTCACGATTGGCACTGCTCTGCATGTGGTAAAAGCCCAGCGTATGCAACAGTTCATGGACAATTGTTCCCATGCGGAAACAGCCCTTATCCAAGGGATACAATTGCAAATTGTAGTTCTGAGCTCCTTTGTTGCGATAGCCAACGGTGGAATAACAACCTCCCGACAAGCCGGTTATGTTGATGAAATTGGGTTGATCTTCATTTGCCTCTTGGAAACGTACGCAGGAGACCTCTTCGATGATTTGCATGCCACGTAAAATATAACTGCGGTGATCGTCATCTACGGAGACGGTCAAAAAAACCCCAATTAATATATCGAATTAAATGTGAAAACGGGTATAATTACCGAATTGAGTGTGAAATTTGTAGTAGAGCGTGTTGTTGGGCCATCGATAAACCTCTTTCCTCATACCATTACGACTGTTCACCTCCAAAATCATATCACCTTCCACATAGCCAGCTGTCAATTCAGGATCAGTCTCCTCGCGTGTTACCAGTGGCAGAGCGAAAACAAAACCCAAAAGGGCCGTGCAAATTACCAAACTTCCAAAGACATTCATGTCTGGTCGAAGAGTTCTTCACAACTTAAATGCGCCAATTTAAATATCGCAATTTCAAGAAATACGATATTTGTTGACGTCCATGCCTCATTATCTAAGTAACGCCATAGTCAATGACGTATTATTATCTCTTATAATCCACACGTTGTATGAACTTATTTCCATTAGAAGGAGGGTATATTAATTTCGTTATTCCGTTTGTAACACATCGAAGTATTCATCGAGACCATACAGTGAATATATTTTTGATTAGCTTGAAATTCTGTGTCGATATAGATCTGTTGTATGTCGTCTTTTGGGTTGTTTACAACAGAACTTTTAATTTTCGACAGGCATTAAAATAATTTTTAAGACGATTCGTAATGAATATAGCGTTGGCGCCTTAGTTATTTGACAAGAGGGTGGGTTAGGTTATGTTCTCGTAAATGAATATTTAATATTGGTTTCCTGTATTGTGAAACTCCCATGTGAACGTAACGCAATATTTTCGGTGTTTTTAAGATGATGGCCCTGACTTGACTCAAAAGAGCTAAAGAGTTGCTTCGCTTGGCCGAAAGTGGTGAACTGCCGAATTCAGTTTTCTTCTATGAGAAAACATTCGTTTTCGTTCGTCCAGCAGTTTGTAAACAGAGAACATGATCGTGTTTACTTGCCAAAGAGGTCAGCTGAAAAAGTGCACCTTCGGTTGGCCACCAGAACTCAAACGCCGGCGATGGTGAAGGTGTGGGCTGCCATAACAGCCAATGGTCGCCCTCTGCTCGTATTAATCGACCGTGGCATCAGAATAATTGCCGAATATTATCGCTAAAATATTCTGAAGGCTGTACATTTTGGCCGCAGACTTCGGACATTCCAACAGGATTCGGTACCATCGCATCACCCTAGAATGGTTACAAAATGGGCCCCTCGCTTCATTTCCAGCGCACAACTGCCACCAACATCTCCGGATACCAATCCGTCGGACTTATTTGGAAAGCAAGGTTGACACTAAAAATGCCAAAATGTCGATCACCTCAAGCAAGGTTTCGCAGGGAATGGCCCAAAATACCGCAAAGCAACTGCGTTTTTGACTTTTTGGTATCTCAATGTGCATTTTAACTCGTAGCAAAATATTTTCAATGTAGGTTCACCATATTTTTGGTATTTTGAATGTTTCCACCCATGTTCCAACCTAATCCGCTCCATTTATAAAATATTTAGTAATAATACGGAGCTTCAAATTTTAGGGGTGTTGATGATTGGTGACTTGGCCTTATGTCATGCTTTCCATGGTAGACGGTATAAAAAGTTCGATGCAGCTAAACTTAACGTTATTTTTACTTATTTCACATAATTTTGAGGCAGGTTCGGTACCCTAGTCTCATTTTAATAGACCCGTTTCAGGAATCGTCCCAGAAGCATCCATAAATTGTATTAATTTTGATCACAGCCGATTTGTCTAAAATTTAAGTTTGACCAAGGTGAAGGGTATAATAAGTTCGACTCAAACGATTAAATTTACCTGTTAATCTTTGTACCAGTATTAACCGAAGATTATTGCTTTCGACCACTTCTGAAATGTGTCAATTATCCTCTCACAATTATAGATAACTTCAATAATTATGTTTGTGGTCATACTGTTTTTCATATAAAAATAATAGATAAACCTATTGCCTATCTAATCGAAATGAATCACAAACGGGCGTACTTTGTGTTTAAGCATCATCACTGCAGGTGTTTTGAACAGTAGAAACTTTACGAAACGATTAGTGGCGTCTCCAAACTCGATCTGTGTTTGATAAAAATAGTAAGGAGTATAAAATTTGGACGACATAAGATACTCTCTGGCAGGAGGATAGACAAACAACGCTAGATCGTCTCAAAATGCCCAAAGAGACCATGGATCTTAAATCGTCATGTCAACGTGGGACATATTGACCTATCATATAAAGTGCTAAAGTTCTATAGCTAATGGCATTATTTGTGTTAAGTCTACTTGATACCTGACGTCCGAGAATCTCGAGTTCCACTCTTTGCTTTGATATGGTTATTGAATAACCCAAACACTCCGTAATTACGAAATAAGCTTACGATTGTCTCCAATTTTCAAACATCCCAATATTTCTTCCAACACAAGATCTGGTGTGAAGACTTTGATACGGTTGTCAACAGAAATGGTTTGAAAAGTAAAGTAGCGATTGATCGAAACCACATCGCAGTGGCCGAAAAATGGCTCGTGAGCTGAAATATCGCAATATTCCATTCAGCAAGTATTGAAAATGAGATTGGGGTAGAGCCATTTAAATTCCAAAAGGTGCAAGAACTTACACCACAACGGAAAGAAAATAGACTCAAAAGAGCTAACGAGTTTCTTCGCTTGGCCGAAAGTGGTGAACTGCCGAATTGGGTTTTCTCCGATGAGAAAACATTCGTTGTCCAGCAGTTTGTAAACAAAGAAAATTATCGTTTTTACTTGCCAAAGAGGTCAGCTGAAAATGTGTACCTTCGGTTGCCACCAGAACTCAAGCGCCGGTCATGGTGATGGTGTGGGCCGCCATAACAGCCGATGGTGGCTGTCCGCTCGTATTAATCGACCGTGGCATCAGAATAAATGCCGAATATAATCGCGAAAATATTCCGTAGGGTCTATTAAAGCCTTGGGCACGCAAACATTTTGGCCACAGACCTTGGACATTCCAACAGGACTCAACACCATCGCACTCAGCACGCGCCACCCAAGAATCGTTACAAAATGATGTTCTTCGCTACATTTCCAGCGCACATTGGCCACCAAAATCTCCGGGTACCAATCCTTTGGACTATTGTGTCTAGAGTATCTTGGAAAGCAAGTTTGGCACTAAAAAATACCAAAGTGTCGATCACCTCAAGCAAGCGCTTCGCCGGGAATGGGCCAAAATACCACAGAGCAACATTCGGGTAGCGTGTGACGGTTTCATTGGCCGTTTGAAGGCCATAATTCGTGCCAAAGGTGACCAATTCAAACAAATCTAAACTTATTCTAAAATTTGATGCTATTTCCGACAATTTTTGCTCTCATTCAATAATATTTTAAAAAAATGTAAAAATATGGGGTTTGGCTTTGTTACAGTTTTTTTATTTCACCCTGTATAGGTATCTCTCATTAGTTGACTTCTAGATCTGTATTTAGTACGTTTTTATTCCCTTACAGTTATAGCTCTCCACATTCACGTATATCATCGCTGAAAATGTCTTTAATAAGGGCTCAAACGAGGATTTTTAAAGATGGTACTACAACAGACCTTAACATGTACTCCATATCGCATGTTATTAACAATTTGTGTTGAAGGTACTAGTAGAAGTTTTTCGATTTTCGCACCTTATCTCTATCTGATATAAGTATTCCGATGAGGGATAATCAGTCAGAATGGATAGTCTTTCGGGTTTTATGATATCTGTGCCAGCTTAAAAAAATACAAATTATGCCGTTTGACTTTGTTGCAGTTTTTTATCTCACTCAGTATATACATTTTTCTGTGAACGAGAGCTCTGATGTGGAGATGGAATTTATCGGGCCACACCTTCTGGTACCTCCCCCACAAAAGTTAAAAAAATTGACTAACGATAATTTGCATACAATTGAGAATTTCGCATACAATTCGACTTTCATCAAATAACCTCACGCACCTTTCAACATTTTCTAAAAATTATGACATATTTTATACAGGGTGAAGGAGGATCGACTACTTCCACTTCCAAATCTGACACTTTGTAATATTTATATGAAACTTACATAAAATACGAATTGGACAATATTGGCTCACTCCTTCGATGTCCCCCACCCCATATAGGTTCAAAAGTTGCAATAATTATATCGCAATCAACTTGTTCTTTCTTACACGTCGCAATTTTCCCATTTTTGGTCAGGCTATATGGGTTTTAAGTATTTTTTGGTGGTACCTACTAAGATTATGTCATATATTTCTTTTTTATTTCTATAAAATAACATCGCGGAATCATCTTAAGGTTGACAACAGGGTGACGTATAAAATAGTATGATCAATTAAACATAAAATTAATTAAAAGAATGGCGCCTGATGCTATGCTTTTATTTTTACACAGTCTATTAAACCTTTACACCATTTCTTAGTTGGTTGCTTTCAAAAATATTTAAAAATATATTTCAGCCTTTGAATTTCGGATATATAAAATATAACGCGGTGCTGTTTCTTCTCATTGCTGACAGGTATTAAAAAATGTATCCAAATTATATTTTTCAATTAACAAGAAATGTGTTTAGTCGCCTTTACCTTTATCTTATTTTAAATCCAATATTTTTAATTTACATTGCAAACCTATGTTACCACTTCTTATCAACCCCATAAAATATCCATAAACCAGGTTAAATGATCGAAACATATTTGTTTAATGTTATTGTCCAATTAATTGAATTAATTTCAATAACCCCCCGCTACCGCATCGTCGTCATTGTCTCTTGGAGTATCAACCCGATATCATTTTCTCACATTCGGTTGGCTGAAGTGTGCTAACATCGTTATTAATGACTTCCGACCGGGCGATAGATAAACGTCAAGCCATTGAGAACGAATAAAGGTAATTAATAATAATGAGTTGTCGAATGGGTGGATGGATGTGTGTGTGTATGTGAACATGCATTGTGTTCTCGCATCGTGTTAGTCTTATCGCTTCACCACTGTCGTAATGTTCTGTAAATATTGGACAACTCGAATAAATGACGATTTAAGGTAACATGGCGATAAGAAATGGTTTAGCTTAAATTGTTGTAGTTGTTGCTGTTGTATTGACATACCACAAATGTATTTCCCCAACAATGACATGTGTTGTTGTTGTTGGTGATACAAGTCTGGAAATATCTATAAATTTCATATTCTTATTTCAATTGTTTATAGAAATACCATTTTTAATGGTGGCGATATGAGATAAGTCTCATATGTGGAGCAAGAATGTGTCATAGTGTTCCGTTGTATTGGTAAGATAACTCTTAAGAAGTGATTATAAATTAATTAATAATTAATGGTATTTGAAAATAATTAAAATTATATTAGAAGCCTATGAGTGAATAAACTATTAGACATTTTTGGGTTCAAATTATCGAAATTTTCAAAGATAAACCAACGAAACGGTTTTGATAATGGTTGATTTTGTTTTGGGAAGATATTAGTACTACCTTTTTTAAGCTAGAAACTGATTTTTAGGTACAAGAGATGAGTAGAATAAGCACAATAAGGTCTTTATTGCAGTATTATCGGAATTCAAGGACTCTGTGGAACAAATTAGAAAGATGATATGCAGGATGAGATGAAAAAACTGCAACTAACTTCAGACTGCTGTCATTTCTTAGCCACTCGTCCGACAGCTGTTAAAATTATTCCAGTTACAGCTCATTATTTTTTTACAGGCGTACAAAAGCATTTTGGTGAGACTTTTCCAGAAAAAGAGCTATTCGTGATAGAATTCAAGCGTGATAGTGTGATTTCTTTATATTTGGCTGGAAAACCACAAGTAGCTATCGTTAGGGCACTCCAGCATTTGAAAGTGACTAATCGTTTGTGTCTGGTACCATCGCTCGTTACTATGATACTGGTACGGTAGCCCGACGTCAAGGAAGAGGACGGAAGAAAACAGCAACATCAGCAGAAATGGTTTGAAAAGTAGTGGCAGAAAAATGGCTTGTGAGCTGAACATATCGCAATATCCCATTCGGCAAATATTGAAAAACGAGCTTGGGGTAAAGCCATTGAAATTCCAAAAAGTGCAAGAACTTACACCGCAACAGAAAGAAATTAGACTCAAAAGAGCTAACGAGTTTCTTCGCTTGGCCGAAAGTGGTGAACTGCCGAATTTGGTATTCTCCGAGGAGAAAACATTCGTTGTCCAGCAGCTGGTAAACAAACAAAATGAGCGTTGGCCACCAGAACTCAAGCGCCGGCCATGGCGATGGTGTGGGCGATGGTCGCTCTCCGCTAATTTAATCGACCATGGCATCAGAATAAATACCGAATGTTATCGCGAAAATATTCTGGGCACGCAATCATTTTGGCCTCGGACATTCCAAGAGGACTCAGCACCATCGCACTCAGCACGCACCACCCAAGTATGAGGTTCCTTGCTTCATTTCCAGTGCACAATGGCTACCAAAATCTCCGGATACCAATCTGTTGGACTATTGTGTCTGAAGTATTTTGGAAAGCAAGGTTGGCTCTAAAAAATACCAAAGTGTCGATCACCTCAAGCTAGCGCTTCGCCGGGAATGGGCCAAAATACTGCAGAGCAACATTCGTGCGAAAAGTGACCAATTCGAACAAATCTAAACTTATTCTAAAATTTGATGTTATTTCCGACATTTCTTTCTTTTTTTTTTTTCTCACCCTGTAAGGAGAAGGAAGTAACCAATAGAGTCCAAATCTGGCACATCGCAATATTTATATCATATTTATTTACTTCCGATACGAAATGGTCAATATTGGTCCATTCCTTTGAAATCGAGGGTTAACAATTTGAAAAATCATAACAGGAATCAAAATACATTTAAATAATCGAATTATGGCTGAAGATATACATCTGTCGGCAAAACCGACTGGAAGGCTTTAACTCGATATAAAGATATAATTATTTTAAATTTTGACCCTTCGTGTGGGTACATAATAGACATAGCACTGATATGAATATTGGAATTTGCAAAAATTGGATATTGAATTGGAAAATTATTTTCGGTGTAAATTTCGATTTTGTGAGGGAGGTACCTGAAGGAGTGCACCGATGTTGTGGATCTTGGAACTCGATCTAAATTTCACAACAATAAAGCCAATCTGGGCTGGGCCAAAAGGGGTTTGGAAACCTTGGCCATATACAAAGGGATTCTAACATCTTGTAATGCAACGTTTACAATTTTGTACTGAGTTTTGGGTTTAAACCATTGGTTTAAAAATTGTTTAAGTCGTTTACCTATAGTGTACATTTTCTGAGAGTAAACTTTAATTCCGATTAGAAAATTCTAAATTCTTAATATCGGATCATACACTTATGTGAAAAATTTCACCCCAATCGTGTCTGTTGTGATTTCAATAAACATCTCTGTCTAATGAAATTTGCAACCTGTCATTGTGTTTTTTTAGTTCAATGGCAAAATTAAGATATCCTCAGTTCTATATCAGAATGTTTAGCGATTCAGATTGTCGACTTCAGATTCAGATTTTCGGCACATAACCTGTAGTCAATCTCAGAAATATGTTACTTAACCTTTTTTTTAACAAAACACTGTCAAATATGCATTTCATATTTCAAAATAGTCAAGAATTAACTCCAATAGAAAGTTATAACTCTGCATCGGAATTTTCATTATGGATTTCGATTTTAATGGAACATGCTATCGTATTTGTCGAACACGCTACATTGTTGTATCTATGACTGGCACTGCAAATATTCAGTTATAAAGTACGTTTTCACAATGTTTAAAATCAATACATTTATCTGCTACGCACTGTACACTAAACTATAGGAAGGGGGAAGAATCTGAATATGCTTCACTTACAACATTTTACAACCTGTTATAAAAAAATTGATGGCAAAACAATCCCAATTGAAAATAATGATAATGAAAATATTGAAAACACTTGATGTTTAGACTTTCTAATTTGTTTAGTCACACATTTAAAAATGCGTTTTCTAGTTGCACAACAAATTAATCATTATGATCGATATCTAGAAGAGTTAGCACAAAAATAACTTGGCCATAGAATGCCAATAATTAGTTATCTATGGCCATTTCGGTCTGCTCAATACTTGTAGATTCCAAACTTTATGGCATTGAAATTTATTTTTTTATTGCAATTTTCCGTTGGATTATCAAAATGGAAACTTCGCCACTGTCAGTCTTCGCGCTCGTCTCGCTTATCTTATCATCCGTATACTGTATACTATTGTATAAATTGTATGGCTCACTACTAATTCATCGAACTGCCTCCCGCAAACGCTTGTTGGGGAAATAATTGGCATTTTATATTTTGTTTTATATCTATTTTTCGAGTTTTCAGAAATTGATTTTTTAGTCGTGTCTAAAATTACAAACGATAATGATGTCGTTGCGTGAGCGATTTCTGTTGTTTTTAATTGGCACTGTTGTGGTTTTCTGCTGCGAAGTGGCCTGGAGTACACCTTTACCTGCCACAACGCCATTAGATCCGGAGGAGTCGGCTGGCTTCGTTGAGGGTGATATGCTGTTGAGTGATGCCCAGTTCCAACTTATTAGGGGTTCAAATAGACTGCAAGGACGAAATGGTTTGGTAGATGAGAGCAGACGGTGGCCCGACGGAATTGTTTATTATAAAATTGTGGGAGATTTTGGTAAGTCGAGTGAGGGACTTGTAAAAAGATTTGGATATTTGTAACCTAAAGTGGAAAAGAAAGAAAAAAATTAATATCGAAATATTGTAAATATTGTTAGAAATGAGAAAGAGGAATTTTAATGGAACATTTTAAAATCGTTCCTCGTTTCTAATAATTTTTATCTAAAAAAAGTTAAGTAATATGAAAAAAGTGTAAAGTGTAAATTCTAAAGAATAGAAATCTGATATTTTATCATCTTCGCAAATAGCCTCTTGGCCTCTTTTTTTTCAATGCAGCTTTGTAATACCCATTAAACCGGTAATAAAACAAATGCCTATTGGAAGGACTAATAAAACAGAATTTATATAAATGAACATGTGCAGTCTCAAAATCTCATATAGCCGGTTTATTTAATGGATCTTTAAAATGACGTCTTTTGATAATTTCAAATAATTGGATAGGTTCAGAATGGGTTTTTCTTTCTAAAATTTAGTATTTTTCAAACGGATTTTCCGGAAACGGATAGATAAAAAGCTGAAGTTCTCCATAACACATAATGAATGAACATTTGTGGAATCCGAAGATGGCTCCACAAAGACGTGTTATTAACATTCGTGATTAGAATAAAATTAAGTATAGAAAGAGCCCAAATTATTGAGCATTGAGGAAGGGATCATCTCAATGGAAAATATATAAAACTAAACAATTTTAATAAAATAAAGGCAATTTTTCGTGCAGTCGAGCCGGTGTAGATACGGGAAATCGTTCAAAGAAACACAAAGTCTAACCAAAAAAAAAAGTACGCTGGAATCTCACCATAGTCTTATCAAAATACTCTAGGTGTGAAGTTTAAACTATATCGAATAGACCCTTTGCTCGATTGGGTTGGTGCCCGAAGAAGTGATGTTTGTCCTTTTTTGTCACATGAACTGATGATAAAGATAATGAAAGTTGAATCGAACTCCCTTTTTTTAGGTTAATTTTTTCCTTTGAAAATTTTAACTTTTGTAAGGGAGGTACCAGAAATCATGGACCGATAGTGCCCATCTTCGGACTAGATCTTAGTTTAACAGAAATATTGCGGTGTGTCAAGTGTAGATCAAATCGAATACCACCAGACTAACTGACATGGCCAGATCGACTCCAACTATCTTGCAATGGGTTTTATACCGCTATTTCGATGAAGATATCTTTGGCCATATCAGATTATATACCCTTTGCCATCATCTACGTTTTACAACATGTAAAGCTTATTTCTTTGGATTCTTCATATAATATCAATATAGAAATAAAAAATCGATTAAGACAAAAATTGGGGTTTCCCAGGGAAATATAATTCAGAACGACCGTGTCTGTATCATTGGTCTTCTTGGTAGCCGACTATGCTTTCTCATCATTCTTGCTTGGAGGTATTACTTGACTGATCATTTGGGCTGATTTGCGCTGGTATTGTCTTCGCCACTTTTAAGAAGGCAGCGTTCGTGACACAGTATTTAGTAATTTTCACTTAAATGGGAGATGACCTGAAGAAACTTCCCATCTCTTCACTTCCGTTATTTTTTGTTGAGACCAAATAATTTAAACATGCGTGAGACCTCAAACATGCCTCCCTTCGCTTAACCCACTCGTTGGCATGTGAAATGTCTTCCTTTCTCATTAGCTTCCATAAGAAGTAAACATCTTATTGAGAGCCTTCCCGTTCACTGTTAGAGCGAATACAATACACATCATATCGCATTTTTATACCCTCTAAGGGGTATACATCATTTGATAAAGCCAAAACGTGCCACGTCGAAATAACGGTTTTTGACCTTAGGTATTTTTGGGCCAAATCCGTTTTAGGACATTTGGAGTCGTACTTGCAATGTCCGTCCGTCCGGCTGGCTGTCTTAGATCGAGTTAGGAAATGGGCAATATCGGTCCACTCCTTCTGGTACCTCCCCCGAAAATAGTCACAGTTTTGCATATCCATGGAGTTCATAAAAAGCAAAATTAACATACAAATTCAGTAAGACTTGACACATCTCAAACTAAAATAAGTTAAAAAGCAGTAAGTTCGGCTGGGCCGAATTTTGTATACCCTCCACCAATTGGAACGAATTTGGAATTTTTAAAAGAATAAAATCCTTAAAAAATTCTGTTAAAATATTTTAAATATCGAATATAGCCGTTATATTGGAGCCTATACGACGTGGACCTACATGGACATTGTATGTCATAAGTCATTACCATATTCAAATTCGAAACTTGAAATAAACGGTGAATAATGTAGCAAAAACCATCAAAATACCTTACATAGGGAGGTACCGTTATATCGGAGCTATACGAAGACCTGGACCTGCATAGACAATTTTCTGTCACGAGCTGTATTTTCCATTACCAACTTCAAATACGACATCTCAAACAACAATTTCGGTGGGTATTGTACCTAAACTCGTCAAAATACCGAATATAGGGAAGTACTGATATATGGGGCCTATACGAAGACTTGGGCCTGCATAGACAATTTTCTGTCTTAGGATGTAGTATCCATTTGGAACTTCAAATACCAAATTTGAAACAACTCCGGTGAATAATGTCGCTTAAATCATCAAAAAACCGAATATTGGGTGGTTCCGTTATATGGGGGCTATACGAAGACTAGGACCTGCATAGACAATTTTTTGTCATAGGCTGTAGTATCCATTACGAATCTCAAATACCAAATTTGAAACAATTCCGGTGAATAATGTCGCTAAAATCATCAAAATACCGAATATCGGGAGGTACTTATATATGGGGGCTATATGAAAACGTGGACCTACATGGAACTTAACCTGCCTACTGGAAAAATAAACATGTGTGCAAAATTTTAGTCCTCTATCTCAATTCGATCGAAAGATAGCGTGATTACAACAGACAGACAGACGGACATAGCTTAATCAACTTACGCTGATCAAGAATATATTTACTTTTGTTGGGTCTGACATGAGTATTTCGGGGAGTTACAAACCGAATGACAAAGTTAATATACCCTCCATAGTATGCTGGAGGGTATACAAATATTTTATTGCACATCCTGCAAATTTTAATACTCGCATTTGTGCTAGATTAGGTGCGAAAATGCACAATATCTGGCCACTCCATTAAGTATCTCCCCCACAAAGGGTCAAAATTTTAAATAATTATAACTCTTAATAAATGTGATATCATATTTATTTAGGTCCAATACGAAATGGACAATATGGGCTCTCTCTTTCAGGGCCCACTCCATAGAGGGCCAAGAGTTTGAATAATCATAACAGAAGTCAAAATATTTTTAAATAATTGAACATTGGCTGAGGTATACATCCGTCGCAAATCCGACCGATACTTTTTTACTCGTTTTGATTATGTCATTTAAGCCTCATAAATTATCGATCATTCTTCGTCACCTGCACCTCAAATGTTTAAAATCTACGTAAATAGGATCTATAAACTTTTATAACCTAGTAAAGCGTTATCAGGTTCGTTTATTTTATTAAACTTGTAAAAAACCATATTCCCGGAAGTCGTTAATATTTTGGGCATTGAGAGCTAATATGTTCGTGTTTTATCCCATACCTGTATAGCTTTTGCAACGGCACTCTAAGAGCGATTTTCTAAAATTCTCAGAATCTTTCTTATATATTTTGGATAGCCGATTATATTCAAAATAAATTATTTTTCCAAATTAGTTGTCCCAAATAATAAACGATCTTATCTTTATCCTCTCTTACAGACCTGGCACATCGCAATGCAATTTTGGATGGCATGGCCACTATGGAATCTCGCACCTGTGTTCGCTTTCGTGAAGCTGACAGCTCTCGAAAACACTATGTCGCCATAACATCTCAGTCGGGTGGTTGTTTCACAGCTGTCGGCTATCAGCGGAAAGTTCAGCAAATGAATTTGCAAATATTTCCCCTGGGAGAAGGTTGTTTCCGACGTGGCACAATATTACACGAAATTATGCATGCTTTGGGTTTCTTTCACGAACAAAGTGATTCACAGCGGGACGATTTCATTCGTGTGGTCTACGAGAATATAGTACCAGGAAAAGAATTCAATTTCGACAAGTACAGCAGTTCAGTGGTGACAGATTTTGATGTTGGCTATGACTATGACAGCTGTTTGCATTATCGTGCTGGGGCCTTTTCGCAGAATGGGGAAGATACAATTGTGCCCCTGGACCCGAAGGCAAAAATCGGACAACGTGTCAGTATGAGCGAGAAGGATGTGAAGAAAATTAACATTATGTACAAGTGTCCAATTAAGATATGAATGAATATGGTAATTTGATTTGAAATGATAATTTGATTTGTATACAATTTTGTGATGCATAAAAATGTGTATTATATAAACAAGTTTTTTTTATAATGTTTTTTTTTTCTATTCATTTCCGTTTATAAAGACAACGGCATCTTATGAACCTTGGCCTTTGATTTTCAGATCTTCAAGTTTTTTTATATTATTTAAGTTTTTTCCGTTTTCTAAAATAATATCTTTTACACAAAAAATTCTTCAAAATCTTTCATTTTCGTGGTCCCACTTTTGGGATTAATTAGTACAATTATTGTACATATCCAAAACCACCTTCATATCAAAACCAGACACAAACAGTGATATCTATATCAAGTTTCCCATCATCCATTACCAAATTTAGTACTATCTAGTACTTTTCGTATCATTATAGTAAACATTTCTAAAACCACCTCCATACCTCAATTACGAATACCAAATGAAACCTCAATATAGAATTTGAGAATTCCAGACCATCTCTTTTTGTACTTTTCGAAATATAGAAATATAGAAAGCATTTGCACACCACCGCCAAATCTCGAAGACAAATACCATTAGTAATCATACTATCAAATTACGGAATTTTATACCTTTTCGCACATTAAAGTACACATTTCTGAAACCACATCCAAATTAAAAGCGACACAAAGATACCAAATTCCAGATTGCACACACTATATCACCAATACCAAATTGTACAAAATATAATAGTATTTATTACTTTTCATGAACTTGAAGTACACATTTATAAAACCACCTATTTATTACAAACCAACCAACAGGGATCTCAATACAAAATTTCAAAATTCCACCTTCATCCGTTTAACCTAAACCAAAATGTTCTAAATTTTGTACCATTTAGTACAGTTCACACACTTGCACAATCACCTCTATATCTCAAACTTAATTTTCTCAACCTTTATTTTCGAAGCCTAGCGCAATTTTAGAACTTTTTTAGTTAAGCTAATATTTAGTACTTTTCGTACCATTCCAGTACAAATATCCAAGAACTCAGTCGTATCATACCCTATCTTTCGTGCAAAATTTCATAGTTCCAGCATCAGCCATTTCGCCTGGGCGTATTGTGTTAGTCAGTCAAACTTCTTAACCCCAATCCAACACTCAAAATTTTCAAAACAACCTCAATCATGTAACCAAATGTTATTTCCAAATTTCAGAATTCCTGCTTTATTGGTTCACCCCAATTCCACTAATGTGTAAATTTAATACCGTTTGGTATACATTAGTGCGAATTTCGAAAAACTACCTACATATCCCAATCCTACACTCTAACAGTCATCTAAATTCAAATTGTACCAAATTTAGTACAATTTATTACAAACTTCCAGAGCTACCTACATATCCCAATCCTACACTCCGACAGTAGTGTTGTTTGTTTATATTTAAACAAATTTAGTACCATTTACTACGCATAAGTAAACATTTCCAAAAATATCTCCAGTCCTATATTTCAATAGAAATCTTATTTTAAAATTTCAGAACTCTAACTCCATCGAAAACTTACCAAATTTGGTACCATTTAGTATTTTTCGTGCACATAAGTACAAATTTCGAAAACGTTATCCATATTTTATCCTTAATTACAAAACTCAGGATTCCAGTTCCATCCGTTCCTACAAAATCAAATTGTACTAAATTAAGTATAGTTTAATACTTTTCGTATACATTAGTACATACTTCCACAACTAACTCCTTAGTTAGTTTTTTTATCTCTAACCGTTCTCATGATACGAAATGATAACACATGAAAGGAAAATTCGATTTAGCTCTAACTTTGCATATTCTAATAGTTGCATCAGCGTTAGGTCAGGTTCGAAAATGAACAATATCCCCCATAAAGGGTCGAAATTTGAAAATTATAACTCTTATAAAATGTGATGTAAGAATCAGATTGTCTTCAAGTTACACACATCAATATATTTTTATTACACCAAGATCTGGGGTAAAGATGAAATATATCGGTCCACTCCTTCCGATACCTCCCCCACAAAGGGTCAAGGGTCAAAGGGTCATAAAAAAGGAAATTAACATTTGATTCCATTCAGACTTGGCACAACTCAATATTTCCATCGAAAAAAGATATGTTTAGAATATGATAGATATAGGACCATTTCTTTTGGTATCTTCCCCATTAAGAGTAAACATTTTTATTATCCAAAACAATCATAAAATTTGGAAAAATTATAACTCTTATAATATCCGAAAGAAGTATCCGGTTCTCTTCAAATCATGTACATCATAATATTTTTGTTAACCCAAGGTCTGGTGTGAAGATGAAATATATCCATGCACTTCTTCTGGTACCTCCCCCACAAAGGTTCAACATTTTGAATATTCATGAAGCTTATAAAACGCGAAAATAACGGAGATTTTGGTGGCCATTGTGCGCTGGAAATGAAGCGAGGAACCTCATTTGTAACCATTCTGCGGTGGCGCGTGCTGAGTGCGATGGTGTTGAGCCCTGTTGAAATGTAAGTTCTGGAACTTTTTGGATTTTCAATGGGTTTACCCTGAGCTCATTTTTCAATATTTGCCGAATGGAATATTGCGATTTGTTCAGCTCACGAGCCATTTTTCAGCCACTGCGACACGGTTTTCTATCAAGTTGCCTCTTTACTTTTCGAACCATTTCTGCTGATGTTGCTCTTTTCTTCCGTCCACTTCCTTGACGTCGGGCTACGCTACCAGTACCACGGTAACGAGCGATGGTACGAGACACAAAAGATTTATTCACATTTAAATGCTGGAGTGCTCTAACGATAGCCACTTGTGGTTTTCCAGCCAAATATAAAGAGATCACACTATCACGCTTGAATTCCATCACGAATAACTTTTTTTCCGGAAAAAATTCTCACATAAATGCTTTTGTAGGCTTGTAAACAATATAATGAGCTATTGCTTGAATAAATTTAGGAGCTCTCAGACGAGTGGCTTAGAAATGACAGCAGTCTGAAGTAGGTTGCAGTTTTTTCATATCACCCTGTATTGACATTAACGTGTTGGTGGCTTATGTTCCAACAAATTTGTTACGAAATTTAGTCACAATGGCTCGAATGGCTGGATTAAATAGACTATAAAATGGAAAAACAAACTGATTGTCTGACAGCGAAACAAACGTGCTTGAACTCTTAAGGCCGTGTTGCCAAAATATAAAAGCAAATCAGCACCAAAGGCAAGACTATCCATTTAGAAAAGCAAATTTAGCAAATATATCTTCAATAGTTCTATATCAAAACCGATTTAGTTCAAATATGACAAACTTACTTAGTGATTAAGTTTTGGGATGTACGTCTAATGCCCTCCTCAATGGTCATAAATTATGTACTTGATGCGTCATAAGCTTGAAATCGGTTATTTGACAAAAACATTCATTAATTGAGTGATCAATCGGTTATCAGAGGGTTTCCTTAATCTATATATACATATATTTTAACCTGCCACAATTAAGCTGTTATGCTATACCTCATCTTGTTTTGTATTTCATTTTGTGACACATAAATACGTATTTGACCACTTTTTTATAATTTCACAACTGAAATTATTTATTAACAGAAAAAACTATGTTTCATTTTTCTGTAAATGGATCGGTTAAGCGAACCACAAAATGAAATGCTTTTGTTTAACCAAACTCTCCAAAAGAGCGGAAAAACACTTTATAACAAGCAAAAAGAACAACAGTGGGGTTTTCCCGCAGAGACTCTGACCAATAATATTTAACAATTTTCAATTTATGGCATTCGAAATCGTATTCGATGGTGGTTCACATGGTGTGGTGATGATGGCGGTGCATTGTTGCACATTAATTTTGTGAATAATATTTATTGACTGGTGGCGGTCGCATAAGTGTGGGGGTGTTTTCAGTTTGTGCCATCCATTCATTTATTGGCTAAAGTGTTAAATAAGTTGTTATGTTTGGTGGAAGTATAAATAAGAGAATAATAAAATCAAATGAACTCTGATAACACATACAGTGGCATGTGGATATGATGACCAGGAAAATGAAACTCAAGGGAGCATTCTCCTAAAACCAGTTTGTTTCGGATTTATGGAATTTACTCCATAAACATAGTCCACTGTTCTCGCTAAATGATTTCATTATGATTTATTTGTATTTGTTGAACATACGCTGATTCTCTTAAAGTTTCCCACACTTGACTAACGGAAGGATGGATAGGCAAGGACATTCGGATGGTAAGCAGTAAAAAAACAAAAAAAACCCAAACCCACTATCACTGCAGACTGGCTATTGTTCCAGCAGTGCAATTCATTTTGTTTGTGTAGTTAAACAACAACAACAACTACACATTAAAGCTGATGAATTCTCTCACCATCATCGTTGCAGTCGCTGCTACTGCTGCCGTTGCTGGAAGACCCGAAACAGTTTCATTCTTTTGACCCTCATTGTCGGATGTACGGCGACAATGGTAGTGTCCTTACCAAATGTCACTTCAATAACAGCGGAATTGTTTTTGTTTTAATTTTTTTGTCCGTTCGTTTGTTCGTTCGTTTTGTTAATGTCCTTGTTGTTTGTTTTGAGAATTTACTTAAAGCTATTAAATGTGAGTGTATGTACGTCTGTGTGTTTTAAATAACCAGTACACATATTTACGGAACAAATAGGACAGTGGGAAAATTTAATGCTAAAAGTAATTCAGATTAAAATTTGGGGGTAGATTTTTTGGTTCGTTTCCGTGGATGCTATATAAATGAAAGGATTATAGCTGCTTTATTATCACTAAACTTTTAAACAAATTACTAAGAACTCTCAGGTTCATTTCGAGCTGTGAACTAGCCGAATATATAATATTCGGTTTGTTACAACTCTTATTCAACTATTTCCTTTTCCTATTTTTTTAAGGAGGAAAAACTCTTTGTATGCCAATTAAATGTTCTCAACATGTTCCACAATAGGTTATACCATCGATTAATGTGGATTAGAGACACTCTGTGCTAAAAGTGTTATTGCTATAAGCTATATTTTGAAGGAAGACATTTTTTAGTGTTTCTTACATAAATG